CCCTGGCGCGCTCCGCGCGCCAGGGAGGGGGGTCCAGCGCCGATCCGAGAAATCCACGCGGACCTCCGAGTTTTTATGTTTATGCCACTTTTTGTTCCCCTAAAAGAGCAGCAGAGAGCAGCAGACACCAACCAGCATGCCCTAACAGAGACCGGCAGAGGCCAGCAGAGAGCAACAGAGGCTATTGTCTGTCCTCCTTCCTCTGTCATCTTCCAACCGCGCATAGTGTATAGACTGCATGCGTTGCAAACATTCACGCGCTGAGCACTCCTACTGTGGATGTAGACTCACTCCAGCAAAAATCCTCGCATGGGGGGGAGTGCCAGAAAAGGAGATGCACATATGGGGAGCTGGGCGTCAAGCAATTACCCCGAAGCTGAACTTCCGAGAGGTACACGGATGGGGGGCTGCTTGTTACCAGAATGTGGCATTTGCAATTTCACCCCGCAAATTCGTCTTAAAAGCTTCCACCAGCTATACGGATTGAGGCCAGCACATTTTCAAAATGGATTTTCGTCTGAGACGTCCTCGTTTATATAAAGATGTCGATCTATATATATATATATATATGTATATATACACATATGGGAGAGCACAAACAAACAACAAATGAGCAGAGGTGGCTGGAGTGAACGGAAAACCAATTCACAAGAGTTTGACCCCACCCACACACACATACGAAGGAAGCAAGTGAAGCGCTGGCACCTGGAGTCTCCTGCCCGCGCAGCGTTCTCGATGAAGGGCAGACGTGTCGCGAAGGATTATTTTCCCTGCGCTGAGAGAGGGGCTCCTTGAGCCAAAATGTTTACGAAGAAGCGCATGCTGCAACAGACATGGGGGCAACAAGTACTGCCCCCCCTACAACACGCACGCGTACTATGCACAAACACGCTATGCATCCCGACACCCCTCCGTCGCCGCCAGCTCTTCGAGCCAGGCGATCTGTGGGGATGCTGTGGGGCTGTACAGCCAAGACGGCGCCATGTCTCAGCGCGCGTCGCCTGCCTCCCGCCTCCCGGGGAGTCTGTCCTCTCTCAGTGCATTCACTGGGCACACAGCTGCCCGCCACGCTGCGCAGCGCGCTTTGCACAGGTAGGCTCACGTCTCGCCGCGTGTCCCACGCGTCTGGCGAGGATACTGCTTGGTATTAGGGAGCGGAGCTACCCGCATCCACTGATCGAACTTTAACCTTGCCGGGAGCGGGGCTACCCGCATCACCAGCCCTATGGGTCTCCACCTCCATTGGGGCGGTGCCACCCGCACCCAGAGAAGCCCTTACCTTCACCTCCCCGCACCGTGCGGTGCTACCCGCAACCGTCGCGAGGGTTTCCCGGAACTGTGGCTGCCCCTCCGTGGCCGGGTGCCTGGCCACCCTGACGAGCAGCTTCACGATCGCGTTGCCAGCAAAGCCACTGCCACCGGCCCCTCTCTCCGCAGCGGCATCTGCTTCACAAGCGATTCCAACCTCTCCGCCGCATGCGCCTTAGTGCCGATGTCGCCCCAATTCAGCAACGTGTCCACCACTGCCAACTGGAACTCCTTCTTGCGGAGGGCCTCCTGCACCCAGAGCTCCTTCATGTGGAGATGACGGACCTTCCCCACGCCTGAACGGGAACAGATCCCTCTCGCCGCGGAGCTGTCCGAGCCAACCGTGAGTTTGTACGGCATGCCGATAACCTGCAGCACCTGGCTGGTCATCTTCCCAATGGCCACTGCGCGCACGATGCCGTAGAACTCCGCCTCGCCGCTAGAGAGCGCTATCGTGGACTGCTTGGCCACGCTGCAGTCCAGCATGTGGTCGCCGTACCGCTCCACCGTGCACGACTTGGAACACCTCGTTAGCTCGTCGGCCGCCCAGTCGGTGTCCGTGTACACATAGAGACCATCGGGCGCGCTCTGGTACGCGAACAGCCACACCTCCCTGGGGTACTGCTTGACGTACCTCGCCAGCCTGTGCAACTGCAGCTGATTGACGACCTTCGGCTTGCTCATGCCGGCCATCACCTGCGACGTGGCAAACTGTATGGTCGGCCGGTCGATGGACATATACAGTGCGGTCCCTGCACCCTGCCTGAAGCTCGTCTTAACCTCCTCGTCGCTCAGCTCGTCGTCCTGGTCGCGCCGGCCCTTCGCCGTGCTCTTGGTCGCTGGCGTCGGTGCTCCCTTCGATGCCGGTTGCAGTCCCGCCAGGCGGCACAAGTCCTCGGCGTGCTTGGGGTTCGCCTCATACTCGAAACCACTCGGCGTCCACCGGATAATGCGTCCAAGATGCTGCCCCTCGGCTGCTTCGCCGCCGTGAGCTGGCGGTCCTATGCGCGGCAGCCTCTTCGTGTCGAAGTGCTCGTCCAGGATCCGATCCACCTCGTCGAGTGCCGCCGCCGTCCCTGCTGAAAGGAAGTCGTCGCCATGGCAGTTCGTCACGTAGTCGAAGGAGTCTGAGAAGAACATCATTGGGACCACCATTACCTGCTTGGCCCCCTCGCGTTGCATGGTGTCCGTGACCTCGTTCCCCCAGCACTTGCTGGCCTCGCGCGTGCCGTACCATGCCTTCAGGGCCCTCCAAGCAACACCCGGCGGCGCGAGCCCTCGAGGTGGTACGATGACCACTCGCCCCGAGCCAGCTGCATGGAAGAACGCCACCCTGATGTCATGCCGGCCGATCAGCCAGTCGTGCTCTCCTCTCGCATTCGTCTTCGTCGCCGCCATGCTGACCAAAAGCCTAGTGGTCATGATCGGCGGCGTCGCCTGGGTCACGTCCTCCCTGCCGTAGGTGTTGACCTGTGTGGCCACCAGCCGTGATCTGACTGCGTCAGGGTCCTCCGGCGTGGCCTTCTCGTCGTCCAGCCACTTGGAGTAGACGACCTCCAAGCCCTGAGCACGCGCCTCCGACAGCAGGATGGGCTCCTTGACCTCCAGGCGCTGCATGTTGTCCAGCTCTCGGCGCCTGCCCTCATAGACCTTCTGCTTGTTCAGCAGCTTCCCGCTCTTAGTGCCATAGTAATCGCGCTCCCAGTCCAAGAGCTGCTCCTGCCACTCTGCGTCGTCGGGCAGCGCTGCCAGCAGAGGAAGCGTCTCAAGCATCTCCTCTGCCTGCGGCTCCTGGTCGTGCAGCGTTGGGAGACCCGCCAGGATCTTCTGGCGCTTCCGAGCCCCAGGCAAATCTTCCGCTACCTCGCCCATGGGCTCGTCCTGCGGCTCAGCCACGGCGGGCCTACCCGCTCCCAGCGCGAGCCGCCCGTCACCCCTTGCTGCGCTGACCTCCATCCCGGCCGCGGTGCTGCCCGCTGGCCGGGCCCCGCTGGATCGTGATGCTCCTCCTGATGCTGCTCCTCCTGCTGCTGCCCCTCCTCCTGGCGATGCTCCTCCTCCTGGTGATGCTCCTCCTCCTGGTGCTGCTCCTCCCCCTGGTGCTGCTCCTCCTGGCTGTGGCGCAGAAGGGGCCGACTCGGCCGCCGCGGTGCTTCCCGCTGGCTGCGCGCGAGCCGCCGCGCCCCGGTCCACGAGGTCCTGGAACCTGGCACGGCACTCTGCTGAATGGATCTTGGCGTCTCCGAAGCACGCGGGGCAGCCCTTCGCCCCGCCGTACTTAATCTGGCGGTCCAGGGTAATGTACACTCCCCTCGGCATCGGTGCCTTCTCCAGGCTGACCCCCGCCTTCGGGTCCCATGGCTCTCCAGCCATGGCCTCCAGCAGCCTCTTGTCCCAGCGGCTCGGCTCCGGCCGCCTCCAGATCGACCTGCACCTCTGCACGCCGGCCGCACTGCCGACGTAGTGCTCGTCGCTCGCCAGGCTCTTGCCGAGCCACACGCCCAGCCGCCATCTGTCATCGAGCTTGGGCATGTCGGCGGCCTTCTGGGGGCCCCTGCAATGCACCACCTCACCGAACTCGGCGATCTGGCCCTTGTATGGCCGTCCGCGCAGCCGCTCGTACGGCGTCTTGCCGTCGACCTTCACCTGGTAGTGCGTGATCAGCCACGCGGCATGACGGACGAGGAAGGGGAGGAGCTTGTGGTCGAGGTCCACCTTGATGCCGTACACCTGTTCGATCCTGGACCTCATCGTCCGCACCTGCTTTTCGACCTCGTAGTTGGCACGCTCGATGCCGCCCGCGCTGGCACTCGACCCCTTCGGCGCGTTGAGCACGACGGTGTCATGGACACGCTCCTCGCGCACAAGGTTGACCAGCTTCTTCACTGCATTCTCCTGGTCGCTCAGAATGATGATGCTCGTCCTGCCCGTGAACCTCAGGGCCTCTTGGTTGACGGCGAGCGCGTAGCGGTCGCCACCCTTGTGCACCATCGCAGCGAAGACCGCGCCGCTCAGAGAGTCAAGGCAGCAGAGCACCGGCTTCGCCTGCTGGGGATCGTCCGCCCTGGCCAGGAAGAAATAGTCCATGGACCATCTGGGCGCCCCCTTCTCTGCTTCGTTCCTCGCCCGGTGGGCATCGTCACTTGCCTTGCCTCGCACGCAGTGGTCGCACCACGAGCGGAAAGGCAAGTGCGTCAGCTGGTGCTCGTCGAACTCCTGGCGGCTCACCGTGGGAGGGAGGCGTTTGCTGATCGCGACGCGCGACGCCTCGCTCTCCTCCAGCTGCGCCGGGGCGGGGCTGCCCGCGCCCGAGCTCACAGCTGTCGGAAAAGAACCGGGAATTCGTCGTAACGCTGGCGTCGCCGCCGGCCCCTCGGCCATCGGAGCGGGGCCACCCGCGTCCGAGGGGCCAGCCGCGCTACTGGAAGACATCGTCGGAGCGGTCTCGACCACCGCCGCGGCTCGCGTCGCGCAGAGTGGTGTCTCGTGCTTGTCTGCTCCCGGCGCCGCGCACGGGAGCCAGTACACCCCCCGATGCATCTCCAGCTGAACAGCCTCTGATTGCCGTGCTGCCTGCCGCAGCTCGCTCGCCATCGTCCCTGGGAGCATCGCTTGGCAGCCTGGCCCGAACAGGAACCAATTCCCCTGCGATGCCGCCTCGCCGACGCTCACGATCGGGAACTTCACGTCGGCCTCGTTGTACCTCACGCTCACCTGTCGCCCGCCTTCCAGCTCGAACCTCGATCGCTTCCCGCTCGCCCCGTGCACGGGGTCGTTCGTAGCCGTCGCAAGCTTGACTGGTCGCACGCTCGCGTCGGGCTCGGCGTTCGGGTCGAACCCCTTCGGGAACACGCTCGCGCCTGCGCAGGTGTCGATCATGAGGTATTGAGGCGTCGCTGGCAGAGCGCCAACTGGAGTCGTGTCTGCCCTCGGAGCGGGGCCTCCCGCGTCCGACCTCAGCCTCGCGCTGGCTGACCTCGCTCGTCCTCGTGCGCTCCTCGACGCTGCTGGCAGGGCGCCACACGGATCCGCGCTTCTCCTCGGTGCGGAGCTTCCCGCGACCGCTTCGGGCAGTGCCAAAATGAACGTGTCCGTGTGGCCGTCCCTCACCAGAGCTGCCAGATGAGGCGGAGGCTGCGGAGGGGCCGCGCTTGCGGACGCCGCCGACGACGGATGAGCATCCGCGCCTGGCGTCGCGTGCAATGGCCTCCTTGAGCCCTCTGCTGCCGCGAGGTCCTTTTGCCTCTTCCGGCACTCCGCCTTGACGTGCCCCGTCTTCTTGCAGTAGAAGCACACCTTGTCCCTGTTCGCGTTCGACGCCTCCTCGGCGCCCTTCTTGGCCTTGCTGCCTTTTCCTTTTGAGTCCTTCCCCTTGCCTTCCTTGCCTTTGCCTTCCTTGCTCTTGCCGCCTTTGGGCTTTCCGGCATTCCAGGGCGTCGCCCCGAGCTGCATCGGCGCGGGCTGCGAGTCGATGTACTGCTGCGTCCTCGTGATCTCCAAGATCTCGTCCCTCACGTGCTGCCACGTCGTGATCCTGCTGCTGTTTCGAATCAGGTGCTCCTTCACGCGCTCGTTCTCCATCCCCAACAGCGCCACGCCGATCTTGGTGTCGTCGTCGACCGTCTTCTGGCTCTGGGACTCGTAGTCGTGCACGAGCCGCTCGAATGCCGCCAATGCGCTCGGAATGTCGTCGCGAAACCGGTACGACATCAGCTGCATCAGCAGGCCCACGAATCTTGTCCGAAGACGCGGCTCCCACTCGAGCACGAACTGCCGCCACGCTTCGAAGCCTTCGTTGACTCCAGCGTTGTGGCACTTGGTCAACGCTGGCCCCGACGTCGTCAGCACGAGGATGTAGTACAACTGGGTGCTGAGCCGCGCCTCGTCTGGCTCCATCGTCGCGTTCTTCAGCGGCTCCGTCGCCATCTCCGTCTTCTCGATGAGATGCTGGTAGCGCTCGTCCACCGCCCCGAGGTACGCGCGCATCTTGAAGCTCCAATCCGCGAACCTCGACGGATCGCCAGCGTAGCTCTCGGGCTTGCTGAGCACGCGCGTGTCGACCACGGAGTGCGGCTGCTGTCCTCCATGGCGCTGCGGTGCCTCCCGCGAACGCTCCAGCTCTTCCTGCATCCTCTGCCTGTCCTCCTGCAGCTGCTTCATCTCTCGCTCCTGCTGCTGGAGCCTGAGGCTCAGCTGCTGCATGGCTCTCTGCATCTCCTCCATGTCTCCTCGCTCCTAGCTGCCCGCCTGCTCGGCGCAGGCGCGCGCCGCGCTCGGCGCGCTTCAACCGAGCGGCTTCTGATCGCCGCTGCCCGCGATGCCCAGAACTGGGCATGCACCGAGGCGCGGGGCTTCCCGCAGCACTCGGGCGCAGGAGGAGAGGGAAAGGGGCGCGGAGCAACCCGCAGTCCCCAAGGTCCGGCGGCTCCCGAACCTACGCTCCTGCTACCATGTCGCGAAGGATTATTTTCCCTGCGCTGAGAGAGGGGCTCCTTGAGCCAAAATGTTTACGAAGAAGCGCATGCTGCAACAGACATGGGGGCAACAAGTACTGCCCCCCCTACAACACGCACGCGTACTATGCACAAACACGCTATGCATCCCGACAAGACGGGGCGCAATTTCAGTCATCTCAAAGCCAGAAATGTTGAAGGGGCCCCAGGACACACAAATAAATGCACACAAATAAAAGGATTCCCCATATTCTTCCATATGTTCTGGGTTTCTGTCTTCCCCCCCACTGCCCATAGTTTTCCATATTTTCTGGGGGATCGACGATTAAGTGTGTCTGTGTGCTTTCTTCTCCTCCTGAAATGTTTCCTCTTGCACGAGTTGGATCACACTGCGTGTGTGCGAGAGTCCCGTGGAGCCCACTCATATCATCGTCCAGATCCCGTGCTTAGACGTAAAAGATTCGCAGATCCCGTTGTCCCGGGAACAGACATACAGGGCAGTTTCTAATACATCGGATCTTTTAATATAGAATGTGTAATGCATGATGAATGTATGAATAAATTGATGCATGAACTCATCGTTGTTTTTAATACTAAATCCCTGCATGTTTAATACGTGATCCGCACGCGGAGCATGTATTAAAACCGGCACTGTCCAATAGAATTTTTGTCGCAGGCCCACATCCACAAAGCCGTGGATCTGCAAACCACTGCTTTGATCTTACGGGAAGGGGGGTTCCCTGTCGGTCGGCCGGTCGGTCGGACAGCGTCGTCGTCGGTCGGTCGGTCGGTCAGCCTGCCTGCCGGCTGGTCGGTCGGTCGGCGCGTCGGTCGGTCGGACGCCGCCGTCGTCGGCCGGTCGGCCGTCGTCGATCGGGCCGTCGTCCTCACCTGTGGCTCGGGAGGAAAATCTCTCTGCCTGCGGACCAGTTTCTCAACTGGGCTGTCACTTTCTAGAATCGGGGATGGATAGACCCCCCTTTAGTAAAACGTGGTTTAGTGAAAACGACCTGAGGCCCAAACCTGGCGGGCGCAAGCCTGGAAAATAGCGGCCACGGCGCCCTCTCGAGAACCGAAAACGGACAATTCACTAATCGACGTGTCACTGTTGGGGGTTCTGTCTACCCCCGATAGAAAAAAGTAGGTCGCAAGTAGAAGTACAACGGACGCCCGCACTGCCCTTAGTAGTGTGGACTGGGCGCTGCGGGGCGGCAGGAAGCCGTGCCCTGCCCCACCAGCACGCGACGAGCAAGTCTCCGAGAGCTCCCGGCCAGCTGCACCGCATCCCTCCCCGCAGCAGCCCCTGCTGGCCTGGCCAGGGACGGCGTTGCTGGCGCCGAGCAGCTGGTCCTGTCGAAGAGCGGCTGGCGGCAGGGGCAGATTGGCACACAGAGAGGAACTCACAAAAACGCACTGGGGAGCGCACGCCCACAAAGAATCATGATCCAACGCTTCTTGTAGCAATGAGCGCCCTCGCGGACGCTGAAAAGTCATGGAAACCCCAAAGCGAGGACAACGCGCACAATAACAAATAGAATAAACGAACGCCGGGAAGCCCACTCGTGCAACAAAATGTGAACCCCATGTGTACTTGTGTGTGTGGGTGTGTGGGTGTGTGGGTGTGTGTGCGCGTGCCTGTGGCACCCCACGTGTGCGGAACCCCACGCGCATGCATCCCATGGCGTGGAACTCCACGGACGTGGAACCCCACTGTGTGGAATCCCGTGTGCCTGGAGCCTCCTGCCCTCGGGATCCTTGATGCGCATGCAGAATCAGAACGCAAGCGCGTGGAACCCCATGCATGCCGGACCCCTGGCGTCCCGACCGCGAGGCGGGGCCCCCCCCGTCTTGTCGAGGCATTGCATGTTGCGGCAAAAGCTTGGGGAGGTGCCGCGAGGGAAGAGCCGAGCCAGGACCGCGCCGAGGGGGAACTCCGTGCCTGTGGAGCCGCACGCGCGCGGAAACCCCCGCGTGCACCGAGGGCGGAGCCCGTCGGGAGACCGACGGGCCGAGCCTGCGGGCCCGCCCCCGTGGAGCTGTCAGCGCTGCGGCCACGGCCCGGTCCCGCTGGCTCGGTAGCGGCAGAGAGGGGGGCGTCCACGAGGGGGGGGTGCAAGTCATGGCCGGCGGCATGTGCGCGGCCCAGGGGGGGGGGGGGCAGGGACGTAATGGGGTAAGAAGAGGCGCCATGAAATCCGGGGAAAGATCATGGCCCGCGCCATGATAGCCACCCCCCCCCCCCCTAGTCATCACCCCCCTCTTTGCCGCCCCCGAGCTGCCTGGGACAAGCTCCCAGAGGCGGAAGAGGCAGCCCCTAAAGTGCAGACATTGCCTAGGGACAGGCAGACGAGAAGCCACCGAATGAAATGCGAGCACGGGCGGGCATCGTGGGACAGCGGCAGCAGCCGCGTGGCAAAACATCAAGTGCCAGCACGCACCATCCTAGCGTCACGCAACAACATGATTGCAGAGGGGGCAGACTAGCCCACAGCAGGCAAACCCGATCGGGCAAGAACGGGAAGCGCCGATGCTGTCCGTGAGGCTCGTAGGGGGAAAAAGGGAAAAAAGATGATGGCGACGTCAAGGCGGCGGATGACGAGGATGACAGCGTCGATGACAGGGAGGCACCGAGGGGAGCCCGAGGGCCCACCGTGGCGTAGACACCGAGCGGTGTGTCATCTCGTCCCTTCGAGCTCTCTGGACGGAGTTGTGTAAGCTGCTGGTGGCGCTCCTGGTTGCTGCTGGGCGCTCTCGGGCACTTAGCTCCTCACGCGTAACGTTTCCAGGGGCCTCGAGGGCGTAGTCTGGCACCCGCACTGTCCACATGGCCAGAGATGGGCCCAGGGCCCGTTGTGGAGCCCTCGAGGGGGGCCTCCTCGGCCGTCTCGGGGGCCTTGGGGCCCAGCCCAAGAGGCCAAGCCCACGGAAAAGCCTGCTGGTCTGTGTACGAGTTTCCCAAACTCGCCTAGCCACACAGGAAGAGGTCTAGGCAGACCCTAGAGGCCCGGAAGGCCGCCTCAAGACGACACCCGAGGTCCCCAAGAGGACCCGAAGAGGCCCCCAAGACGGCCCCGAGAGAGGTTCAAGGGGCGGAGCACGAATAGACAGTTCGAGACCTTTCCTCCAAGATGGCTCCTGGGGCCGCTAGTCGGCCCCCAAAAGGCCTCCAGAAGACCCCCGGGAGGCCCCCAGAGGCCGCCAAAAGAGGCCCCAGGAGATCTCCAAGAGGCACCAGAAGAGGCCCCCCCGGAAGCACCCCAAGAGCCTCCAGGGGCCTTATAGGCGGCCCTTTGTGTCACGACCCAGGCACGCTGGCGGGATGGGCAGAAGGCACCTACATAATAGCAGGCGAGCATCACAGGGTACTCTGAACGACGAGATCGCCGCGGGCAACATACGGAACACAGCACGGAGCGTTCAAACAACGTGTTGGAAGATTCGCACCCCAGGTGGAAACAGGCTCGCTGGCCCCAGGGGCAAAAACTGTGGGCACGAGCTCGCTGGCCCTGTGGGCCAGACCTGTGCAAGATTCTACCCTGTACAGTCGGGGCCTTGACCTAAGGAACCTAAAATAAGGAACGAGGCCCCTTTTTTCCATAAGTTAAACTTCGATTTCCTATCGAAGACATAAGGAAAACCTGAGGCAAGCTGCGAAACACTTAAGGAACGCGGAGCCCCTCCCCAACGAAAAGGGTTCCTTCTTCAGGGCCCCGACTGTACCCCTGGGGAACGTTCCACAACCGTTCGTGAAACGCACTGGGCTGTCGCCCCCCAGGGCAACGAGGCACGATCCTCGATGAAGTGCAATGGGTTCCCGCCCCGAGGGCCACCATCCGACAACAATGAAGACAGACTGGACACAAAAAACAAACGATCCATGACAAATACGCTTGGCTCTCGCGCTCGAGGACGCGACCCCTCGACTGGGAGGAGTGACTACAAGTCATGGTAACAACGTCGCTCCCGCTGCGAACTTGACCACAGTGTACTCAGGCATGTGGTCTTCGCTCGACCCCATAGCCAATCACCCAGAGTGCGGCTCCAAGATTCCCCCGCTGCGCGTTCAAGAAAGCTGGCTCCCATGCGGCTCCCACTCCGAGAAGTCCTTACTGTGAACTCGAGAATGCGGATCCCAAAAATGATGTCCGCAACGTGCTGAAGAACGCGGATCCCGCTCGACACTGCCTCGCAGTGTACCCACGAGTGTGGCTCAGCTCCGATGACTCATGCCTGGCTCCAGAGCTCAATTCCCACTGTTGACTTCCTCATAATGCAAGTGCGCCGGACATCCGGTCCACCTGCCTCATCGAAGAGCACACGTAGCAATAACACGCGAGGATTCCCTGACACAGATGTGGGAGCAACGTACAATCCGCCGTATAGCACACTGACGCTGATACGAAAGACGGGTCGAGAAAGAGAGAAGGACAGAGCAGTGCGTCGCTGAATGGCAAGGGAAACAAACGGGTCCTTACCATTTATGACGCCTGTGTTCGTGATATCGCGCAGCGCCTGGGCCAGATCCGCTGGAAGAGTGGCACCACGCAGACAGACAGCAGTAAAGACAAGCTCGCCATGTCGCTCTCCTTCCGCACACAATCGCGAACCTTCCCATATCTACACGACACCCCGCTCCGGAGCCAAGGAGGGCCCTGGGCCCGTTTGCGCACGTGTCTCGCCTGGCTGCTCCCTACAGCACAGCACGCCCCCAGAAGCGGTGACACTCTCGGCCGAGTACGAAGAGCCGGCCTGCGTGTGCCTGTCGCGCGGCCGTTCCCCGTGCCTCTGCTGGGGGGGCGGGGCCGTGAACTTCTCGAGAAAAAAACACCCGTTCCAAAAGTCACCCGGCCCTGCCTTCCGATGCCGACTGCTCCCGTGCGCGCTCCGACTGCGCATCTGGGCGCACGCCCTGCCTGTCCTGCGCCGTCTGCGCGGGCGTCGTGGCCCATGGCGGCGCTCCGGGAAGTCCCTCGGGGGGACTCCGCGGGCCCTGCAGGACGGGATCTGCAGGGCAGTCGAAATCACCAGGCATCCTCCAGACCAGCCCACCCCGAATGCGCCCTCATGATGCACCCAAGGGGCCAGAAAAAAAACACGATCAAGACTTGGAATGGCAAGGAATCCAGTGAGAAGGTCGAAGATCTTCCAAGCGAGCGCAACCCGCATCGGTCCATTTTCGCTTCGGTGAGCCAGGGGGTATTTCCTGTCGCCTCCTGCCACGTTTTCGTGGCATCGGCATCGACGTCTGACCTGCGGGCCTCGCCCAGAACGGGCGTCGCAGGGTGAGCGTCGAAGCACCATTCCTATGACGAGCTGGAAAACTAAAACTGCAAAGACATGGACACGCACAGCTACAAAAGAAGACACGGAAGCTATCCTCTCCGCCCCCTTGGGGGGCCAACAGGCTGCGAGGACTATAGGCTGTCCTGTTCCCTGCACCAGGTCCAAGCCCCAATGTGCAGTGGCAGATGTTCTCGCTTCTGGCTCCGGTGCTCTGAGGACGGGTGTCCGCGCGAGGAGGGCGCCCGAAACCCCGCCAGATGCCGCCCCAGCATCACGTGAGCTGAACTTTCGGCACTCTTTTTGGCGCTCGACATTCTTTCTGGTGATCGAGGCTAAAGTAGGTTGGAGCATCATAAGCCGGGGCCCTGGGAAGCGTGGGTGGCTCGATCGTCGGCTCCGGCGGCCCAAGAGGGTCAGAGGGCAGTCCAAGAGTGCCCGGGGACGGCACGGCGCGGGACAGCCTCCAGGCTGCGCGAGGAGCTCCCCCTCCGCCTCCTCCTCGTCCTCATCCCCCTCCTCCTCCTCCTCCTCCTCCCCCTCCTCCTCCGCCTCCTCCTCCTCCTCTTCCTCCTCCTCATGCTCCTCCTCCTCCTCCTCCTCCTCCTCCTCCTCCTCCTCCTCCTCCTCCTCCTCCTCCTCCTCCTCCTCCTCCTCCCCCTCCACATGCGCCCCAACGGGTCTCCAAGAAGACCCCCGAGGGGTCCTCCAGAGGCAGAAGTCTGACCAAGCCCTTTTCTGTGCCCTCATGGAAAAGCATGCCAGGCTCGCCTTGGTGGCATCGTCCGTGTGCAAGACGGCCCGTGAGGCCCCGAAGATCGCCTCAAGACGGCCCAAGAGGCCACCAAGAGGGCCCCAGTACAGCCCCAAAGGCACCCAAGACGGCCCAAAAGGACCTCCAGAGGGCCCCAAGAGGGGCCTAAAAGAGGGAGCTCGCACTGACAGTTCGAACTAGCCGCCCCGAGAGGACCCCCGAGACCGCCAGCAGGCCCAGAATAAACCCCCAGGATGCCCCAAAAGGACACCCAAGAGGCCCAAAAGACTCCAAGAGGCCCCCCAAACAGCCCGAAAACTACCAAGAGGAGACTCCCGAGAGGCTTCGCCACGAGACCTCGACGAGCACCCGAGAGGCCTCTGACCCACAGAAGCACGCACGACACCAGCTGCGCCGTGAAACCACCAGCGTGTCTGGGGCGCGGTGCCGCGAAGCCCTGCGGATACGGATCCTACGCGCTCGTGACTCCCCTGGCTACCCTGGCAACCTGGGACTCGTGGAAGCTGCTCTCTGTCGTGTCGTCCAGCGACTCGACGACCTCGAGCATGCCCCTCTCCCTGGCCACGCGGTAGGGGTCTGGGCCCCCGCCTCTGCCGCAGTCGTCGGCCTTGCCGACCGACCCGGTGATCACCCGCTTCACGCCCAGGCTGGACAGCATGTCCCAGGTGAGTATCCAGGGAGCGTGAGTGAGCACGCTTGACACGTATCGTAGGGGGCCAGATGCGAACCCTACCCCTCCCCCTCAGAAATCGTGGAGGGGGTAGGGTTCGCATCTGGTCCCCTATATCGGTTGTGCAGGACCCGCTGCAGTCGGAACTCGTAGCCTTCGAGCGTCGACCTGGACTCGTCCGCGAGGACCTCGTCTGAGTGGACGCCGACCAGCAAGTGCGTGCACTGCATGCGGGCTACCCTCAGTATGTGCTGGTGAGCGCTGTGCATGAACGCCCACGAGCCATCGACATAAACTGTATCTTTCGAGTCCCACGGCATCTCTGGAGTGCCCTCCGCCAGAACCACGCGGTCCTTCCACAGGCCCAGCAGCAGCGTACTGGTAGGCAGCTCTGGCAGAGGCGGGGGCTTTGGCCTGCCGTTCACCTGAACAACGAACCTGTCGGATGTAGAGGAACAGAAAACGGCAGAAGAATCAGCTTCCGCCGGTCCGCACGGATTTCTGGGGTCCGCGCTGGAACCCCCTCCCTGGCGCGCGGAGCGCGCCAGGGGCGGAGCTGGGGGCGCCGCCAGTGGGGCTCCAGCGCCGATCCGAGGAATCCGCGCGGAGCTCCGAGAAATTACGTACATGCCGAGTTCTGCTCTTCGGGATGATATGGACTCCACGGCCAGAACGCTGATTTCTGGGTTCTGCGTCCTCAGCTTGGCCAGCCAGCTCTGGCAGACCTCGCAGGGCCACAGGGGGTTCAGCTTGTCCTGGGGATCCGCGGTGGCCACCACCAGGATGTCCGAGGCCCTCTCGAAACTAGAGGCGGCGCGCCCGATGGCGGCGCGCTCGGCGCACAGGGAGCCCGCGGGCAGACTCACCTCCGCGTTCATCCCACGGTAGGCCACGGACGCCCCGTCGTCCTTGCTCCTGCAGATCACCACCGAGAGGACGGCCTTCCCAGACTTTCGGTGCCAGAAGCCTTCCCGGACATCGTCCGTCTCGGCCCGCTCCCAGTCCTGCATGTACCGCCGCAGCTCGTCCAGCGCGAAGCGCAGGGGCGAGTCCTGCGGCAGCAGCTGGGGCGTCCACCAATCCGCCGCGTCCACGTCCGCGGGGCTCCGGGGGACCAGCACCGGCGACTGCGCGAAGAGCAGCGGGCCGTCCAGCGGGCTGCCCAGCGGGCTGAAGCGCGGCGAGCTCAGCGAGCTCGTCACGTTCAGCCGCCGGCGCCGCCCCTCGCGGGGGGGCTCCGGCGGCGGAGGCAGCTCGGGCCCCGCGGCCGGGGCCTCTGCCGCCTCGCGGGCACCCGCCCCGCAGGCTGCGCCGGCGGGCGGGGCCGCGCCGGGAGGCGACCGCGGCCGGCTCCGCTTGCTGAGCTCGGTGCCCGGCGGCGCCGCCGGCGAAGCCGCGCTCGAGGCCGCGGCTGCCGCCGCCGCCAGCGCCGGCCGCATGGAGCTTCGGGGCAGCGTTAGGTCGGGCATGCCCTCCTACAGGCGGGTTTTGGACGGACAATAACAAGCATGCCAAGAATACCCAGAAGTGGTCAAAGACAGTCGAAAAAGCGTCCCCCAACTATTTTTGGACTACTCTTGAATATTCCTCCTGCAGAGGGACAGGCCCGACGGAAGGGCAGCGCTGGGGCGTGCCGCGCGGCCAGCGCCCGCGCGGCGCTTCGGGGCGCCCGCGGCAGGCCGCGGCGCGGTCTTCGGGCGAGGGGGCGGCGGAGCAGCGCGCAGCGCGCCGGGAGGCCTCGGGGCCTGAGCCGCGCTGCCGCCCCGTCCCTGTGGGCCTCGAGCCGAAGCAGCTTGGGCCCAGGGTCTCAGCCTTCGTTGCGGGCGGCGCCGGCTGGCCACGTCACCGAGGCTGGTCCATCCCCCCGGGCCCGTGGCGGGTGTGCGCGCCCTCCTGCCTTGGCCGGGGAGGCCTTCCTGCGGATCCCCAGGCCCAGGATCGGTTAGCGACGGTGGGGTCACTGGTTGACGTCCTCCAGTCTTCCCAGTAGTCCTGAGGTTGCCATCACCGCCCTCGTCCTGATGGCGTCCACCTCGTTCGCATCCCGGCGAGGACGATGAGCGTGGTGAGGATTTTGAGCACGACTCAGAATGAAAAGATAGAGTCGCGCCATGATGCCTGTACGGCCGCACGGGGCAGACTTCGGAGCTACGTATTCGCACACTGGCAACTGAGAAGCTTACATGCATTGTTCGCAACTTACTAACCTAGCGGCTTCGCAATCAGTGATTATGTTGAACTCCGTTCCAGAACGTCACACTTTATAGTTGAACTCATTCAGTTGATGGGAGATTTCGCGACTGGGACCGCGATCCCAGAAGCGCCTCAGTCCTCACGAGCCTCTCAAAGCCATCGAGGGTTTCCATAGCCTCCTCGGACATCTGACATGTGTTTTATGATTGTCAGTATCATCAATGCTAAATTACGTTTCTAACTGATACTCTCATCGTTGTTAGTATCATTCCTCCATCCCTGTACTCGCCGTCATCCTTATCCACATCATCATCCATACCCCCTCTTGCTCACCCTCATCATTATCCGTATCCTTGTCGTCGTCTCCACCCCAATGGCCCTCCCTCGTTAAGATTGCTCTCCATCGTCACCACCGCATCATAATCATCATCACCACCAACACCATCATCATCACCCTCGTGGGCTGCGCTGGCTTGGCATGTATCAGAGGTTCTCCAAACTCCACGCTTCATACTTTACTATACACTCCTCCCTCGTCGGAGGATCTGGGAGGCGAAGGTGACAAACATTGATTGGGTAACAACAGGGGCACTCGAAATCCGCCACCGTGCCCCTGGCACGCAGTGGAGTGCCCCAAGGCTCCTGCAGCACCGAAGGGGCTGTGCTGCTGCTGCAACCAGAACTGTACGCCTTCGAGGGCCCGGACCAACCGTTTCCTCGGCCCGTCCGTGGCCTGCTGGGCCGGCCTGGGGTCTGCCAGCATCGCTCGCGTCTGCCTGCCCCGCCCAGGGGGGCCCCAAGAAGAATCCCGATGGCTCCGAGAGGCCCCCAAAAATGCTCAAAGAGAGCCCCGGTTCGCCCCAAATTTTCGCTCGAAGGCGCGCAGGAGGGCCCGAAGACGGGCCGAGAAGCCTCCAAGAGACGGCCACAGAGGTCGAAGATCACTGATTTGCCACAGGTTTGTGAATGGTGCTGGCGTTCCCGCCTTGAGGCCTCCAGGAGAGCCTACCGAAAATCCCAGCCTTCCGCCCCGAGAGGCCCCGGGAGGCCCCAGGAGGAGCCCAAGAGGCCCCAGGAGGCCCCCAAGAGGCCCTGAAACGGCCCCCACGAGGCTTCGAAACTGCCTCCAAGAGGCCCCCCAGAGGCCTCCCACGAGATCCCAACGAACATCCCATAGGCTGCACACCCACAACCCAGGCACGGTGGCGGGATGGGCCCGCAGGCCACTAGATCCGTGGCCCCCTGTTGTCCTGCCACAGGAGTGCCTGGCGTGCTGAATTTGTCTGGGTATTGCATCTGCTCCATAAGAACTCGTCGGTCCACTGCGCCGGCGAAAAGCCGCACCATCCTCCGAAAAAGTTGCCTGACCGCCTCTAAGACAGCCACGATGGCTCAAGATGGCCACCAAGACGCCTCCGAGACGGCCAAGATGGCCTCCAAGACGGCTACGATGGCCCCGAGAGGTGGCCCCAAGATGCCTCCGAGACGGCCCAAGATGCACACCAGACGGCCTAAGATAGCGTGAAGATGGCCCCTGACGGCCCAAGAGGCCCCCAAGAAGCCTCCAAGACGGCCCAACAGGCCTCCAAAAGGGTATGCAGGAAGGCCTGAAGAGGCAAAAATCATAAATTGTCCTTTGGTTTTTGAAGGATCTTTGTATCGGGTACTTCGGCCGACGGCCCGAGACAGTCCAAGAGGCCCCCAAGGTCGCCCCAAGATCGCCCAAGGGGCCTCCAAGATGGTCCTATGACGGCCCAAGAGGCCCCCAAGACTGCCCCCAGAAAGCCCCAAGACACCCAAAATGGTCTCTAAGACGGCCTTAAGTGCCTCAAGTGCCTCCAGAGGATCCCAAGTCTGTTCAGAGAGGCCCCCAAGACAACTTCCGACGGCGTCAGACGGGCCAGGAACGTCGTAAGACGGCCAAAGAAGTCACCAAGAAGCCACCAGAGGCCCCCAAAAGGCCCAAAGAGGCCCCCAAGAGGCCTCCAAGAGGCCCTCAGGAAGCTCCCAGAAGGCCCCAAGAGTGCCCCAAGAGGCTTCCAAGAGGCCTCGTCCTCCTCCTCCTCCTCCTCCTCCTCCTCCTCCTCCTCCTCATCTTCCTCCTCCTCCTCCTCCTCCTCCTCCTCCTCCTCCTCCTCCTCCTCCTCCTCCTCCTCCTCCTCCTCCTCCTCCTATTCCTCCTAATCTTACTCCCTCTTGATCCTCCATTTCGTCCTCCCCCAAATGTTCCCCCAAGAGTTTCCAGAGCGGCTGGGGGAACACAGAGTCCGATAGCTTGGCCAAGCTGGGGCCTAACGTTTAGCCACAGAGGCACTTTCCAAAAGGCAGGGGGCGGCGGTGACTCGCCGCGGGCGTCTTCGATACTCGTGCTGAGCTTCCGCGCTGCCTCCTCGCTCAAGATCGAGGGTGCTCCGTCGCTCTGGACGCGCGTGTCCAGAGCGTCCAGGGGGGGTTCCTGCCGGCGAGCGCACCAGAAGTGACGAGTCTGCGCTGGCGCATCTGGGGAACACGCTGCTCCATCTCTCCGAACGCGCGCGAGCACAAAACCTGAAAGGATCACTGCTTCCGAGGGAGGGAGGGAGGGAGGGAGGGAGGGAGGGAGGGGAGGGAGGGAGGGAGGGAGGGAGGGAGGAGGAGAAGGAGAAGGAGGAGGAGGAGGAGCAGGAGGAGGAGGAGGAGGAGGACCTCGCTCGATCCTCGCTCGAGGGGGCTCGCGTGGAAGCGCGCGAGGGTCCCTGCAACGGTCGGCCGCTCCGGCGTGCTCGAGGTCACGACGTCACGTCTGCGCACGTCTGTTCGGACCCGATCGGGCCCAGCACGTCGGGGCGACAAACTTGTTTGCGGGCGGGCACGCAAGACATTGATATCACGATTAGTGCACACCACGCCCCTGTCTCAAGAATCCGAACCCTGACTTATCCGAACGATCTGGGCTGCTTGCCGCTGTCCGCCGGGTCCCTTGCGGGGACACCACAGCCCAAACCCCTCCTCCGAGAAAGGACGACAACGAGAGCCCTGGGCACACGCCGCGCCTGGAAAAAGCTCCGCAAGACGGTCCGACACTAAGCCCACCGGGGCAGGCCACAGCTGCCCGCAGACGGGCCCAAGACGGGCCCAGTCAGAAGGCCCCAAGACTGGCCAAAGACTCTGTAAAATGTTCCCACATGGCCCAAGACGACCCAATCCCGTTGCGTGATTTATCATGCTGGCCCCGAATGCCGTGCGCAAGCTTCTGGACTCTGCCTGCCAGGCCAAACAAAAAGCTCCCACAAAGACACCCAAACGCCCCTGACAGGCAAACGCCATCGGAAAGCATGTTGTTGAGCGCGTTTGTTTCCCGTGCATTGCGCCATGCATAGCTCAGGAGCAGACTCAGAGGCGTCGATCAAGTAGCGCCCTGAGAAGCTTTCCGACAGCCGCAGAAGGCCCCCCCGCCGTGCGCAAGACAGGCCAAAAGCGCTGCACGATTCCCCCAGACGCGACCCAAAATCTAAACAAAACGCCCCAGACGACCCAACCCCTCCCATCAAGCCTAATACGACCGCTTGTGGATGGCACGCAGCAGGGCGAGGATACCTCCCAGACGGCCTGCTGGTTGAAAAGTGTGGACTAAAGTCATTTCTTAGAATGCGTGTGTGAAATATGATATGACGTGAATCGTGCCCAACATGGTTTTTGGCGGTGGTCGGTCGCAAGCGTAACTCGTCGGCTCACGCCCCAGTCAGAATCGAAGTTATGTTTTTGACGCTGATCTGCGGGCAGTCGCCAGTGGGGCGTCATACAAGAGCGGCTCTACTAGAAAGTATGGCCACGGAAACACGGAGGATGCGTGCTGGAAAAAGCCCTGATCCGACAAACCACTGCTCCTATGATCGTCCAGCGACGCTCGTCCCCGCATCGGCGGCTCTCCTTATCTATTACATTAGAGTGGTCCATAAAACCACATACGGTCGGAGAGGAAAAACTGTGGAGATCGCTTTTCTAAAAAAACAGCACGATCATTACAACAGCTAGGGGCAAGGGGCATATTTTTACGTTGCACGCTGCCTACTGCCAACATGTCCTACTCCGTACCTATCAAATCAACACTCAGGAACTGGCGTGGATGCTAAGATATGGTGCCGTCCTGGAATATCCCCTCCAAAACAAAATAAGGCGTTGCCCCAGGGATTCGAACTCAGTATGTGCAAGAGGGCCAGTGGTGACAGCCATCCCTCCTCCCAGGTCCTCGGGGAGTCCCCAGGGATCGCCCGGTCGCTATGTAATGCTGTGCTGGCCATGCTATGCACACTGGCGCCACGCGGCGGTATGAAATGTTATA